GGGATACAATTAAAGCATACAAGCTGAGGAAGACTAGAAGTTAAAGCATATAGCTTCCTGGAAAGAGATTAACCATCTTAATTATTCAAGGACCTCATCAGAAAAAAATAATAATGTAAATTTCCACAGCTCTGGAGCAGCAGACTTTGTGGGTATTAGCACCACTGCTGCTCAAAAGTCTGCAAATGACCTCCCTTGCTTGTCCCAAAAGACCTTTCTCCCTCTCCTGCTCTCTCCTTCTCTCACATACACAAATACATATTACTTTTATCAGTCTTCTAGCCTTAGCAAAACTTTATGGTCTCCAGCGGTCTCACATAGAGAGTGGATGACAGCAGTAACATACTTTCCTATTCCTACAAGACAAGCTACTAACATTATTCCTTCAGCTGAACAAGTTCGGGATCAAGAGGAGGACATGAGAATTACAACGTTTAATTTTTCTTCAAAATTTTATTTGCTTAACATTTTCCAGTAACTTTCAGTTGTAGTAGACCTGAAGGAAGGGAACACACACTGAACACCCAGTTCAACGACTAAAGAGAATGAAAATAGATCCATTAACTTGGGATCAATTCCTGGTCCCTTTTCTTAGAAAAGCTTTAGTTATGTAAACAGGACGTGACTGATACGCTCATTATGGCAGAAGGAGAGTCTTTTGACATGAAATGTTCCTAAAAAAGCATTTGGAAGTTTTCTTATCTTCAGGCAAACCATCAACATACTCAAATCAGCTTGCTACCAGGACATATACCGGTTTCCAGTATAGGCAAAGACCCGCCTCTGAATTACTCACTTTCTACTAAGCAAATGCACAGCTATATTCTATGTGCAAAAGTCCGATCTATTTCCTGAAAGAAGCAACAGTGGGAAAATGCATCAGAAATAGGTACGAAAGAATACAATGAATAGAAGCAGCATACCACAAATCTCACAACCTGTGGTGCTTTCCTCAAGCCTGGTTCTTGAAGCCTGGAGGCATGGGGATCTACGTATGGAATATCAGCTTTCAACAAAGAAAATAACACCCTACTTCTCATTCTTGTAGAAAAAAAATCTTGAAAATGTGAAAAAAACACAACCAAAAAGGTTCAGATGTGAAACATTCCAAAAGTATCACTGACTAAAAATCAGAGGGTTTTAAAGGCAATGTTATTTTGAGGTCCCCATGAAGACTTGTTTTAAACAATTTATTCTCAATATAGTACTAGTGATTTTAATATACATTTCTATTAGAAGAGCTATCTATTTGATTTGATAGCAATCAAATTGCCCAGTTCAGTCACCTTCTTAATAACAGCTGTTTGCTCTAACACAAGCAGTAGGATGAAACCTGCTCCCTGAAGCCCTTTCTGCATTATAGACATCTCAATCAGTTCTGGTGGGAAGAAGCCTCTTTATTTACAGCAGTTCAGTGAAAACAGAATTCTAGTCATCAAGTCTATTATTCACTGGATGTTGCTGTAAATCACATTTCTATAGAAAGTGCATGTTTCAGTTCGCATCATGTAACAACTCTGTTACTCGGGTTTCAGACACAAAACTGCTGGTAATGAGGAGATTTTCCCACAATTACATGAAATTACATCTTCTGCCTTGTGCACATCCACCAGAGATGGACTGAACTCAACAGAGAGATGCAGACCCAAATTCAATTTTACCTGCATCCAGAACAGAATCCAATTTCAAAAGCTTATTTTTTTATTCTGTTCTGGTTAAAAGTACAGTTATAATCTACTTTCCCCTTCCCTTTCCTGAAGAGAAAGGATGATGGAAGGTAATAATGGCAACAAGTGATCCCAGGCAGTGATTCACACATCCAGAGGCATTTTGTGACTCTAAGTAGCCAATGTTTGATGCTGGCATTGGGATTTGGCTTCACTTTCTTCAGCTCAGCTCTGGAAGAACTGAAAGACCACTTGAGGACAAATCCCTCCAAGCATCACCTTATGGAGGTCTCCTCCCCACCAGCTCCATCCAGCAGGTTTTACCATAGAACAGACTGAGGCAGATTTGTGCAGTAACTGCCAAATACAGTAGAGTTTTATAATCAGTCACACATGTACAAAGAATTGTACATTGGGTACATTGGGTATATTCAATATGTCCCATATGTCAAGAGCCCTATGTAATACAACCAACACATATGGGAATAAAAGAGCACAATGCTGTAGCAGTCTTCAGGGACTGTAGAGGCCTGAATAGTACTTACTGGCAAGCGGCTTCCAGTCTCTGTCATGATAAATCTGTGAACATGAACATAGTTCATCATTAGAAAATATCTCAGCACAATCTTTTCAGAGAAGCCAATTACAAACTTCCCAAGAGGCAGGCGGGCAGCGCACTGCCAATATAGACTGCTGTTCTGATGAAAATGCAGATGATTTTTCTTGACATAAATAAGATCAGGGCAAAAGATTATGTCACAGGTGAATTAGTGCCTCCCCATAAGGTGCTCATGGCCCATCAGACACAGCCTGGAACAATTAAGTTCACGTAATGCATTTCTGTTCTGCATTTCTGTCTGAAATTTAGCTAGCAGACTTTCAAAAACAAATTATAGCCAGATAAGACCTTACTGATGGCACATGTGAACATGCTGAAAAGCAATTATTATTCCAGCTAAAGTTGTTATTGCTGCAGAATCCAAATGTTTCCTCTTCATTTGCCTGCACCTATCACCAAGTACATCCTAATTGCTCTTCGCCACAATCAAGTTAGAGTACCAACCCTTGAAAGGTATGACTGTCCTAGGTCACGATGCCTTCCTGAAGCGAGCCTTCAGAAACACAGTAGGTGTATAAGAAGATTGGAAGGCAGCCTGCAGTTGTGCAGTTCCCACTGGAAGCGTTAGCTCTGTCCATAGCTGTGGTCAGATCACCGCGAAATAAAAACAGAACTTCTGAAATCCTGCTCGTGATGAGCACGGCAATCTCAGAACTCCTACCTGAAAAGCCGCTCCCTGTCCTGTTTACCAGGTCCAGATTAAGAACAGAGAGAAACAACCAACCAGCCCCTCGAAGTCCTGCTTTCTGTGTCAGCCAGCAGCGACGCGAAGCCTG